TGCTGTTGGAATCCCTATCTGGGGATTTTATTTTCTTCTTTTTCTCAAAAATATGTCTATAATTGTTAATGAGGTATAAATCGTCCTACAAATATCTTATTTTAGTCAGACCCCGTCAGAGTATGAACAAATTCATGCTCAGTAACACCTCTATTAAATACTACTTATTTACTATTAAATAAGTACTCTATTAAATACTAAATATTATTATAATAATTAATTATAGTAAAGAATGGTCCCAGACAAGCAAAAACTAAGTCAAGATGAGAGCATTTTCCCATGAATAGGAACAGAACAGTTTCCAAGCCCTCTATAAGATAATGACAGCATACAAATGTCAATGTGGGCTAGACTGGTATATGGCGGTTGTATGCTTACCTACAAGGAGCTGGGACGGTGCACTAAAAGGAAACTGTTTGGCTTGGTAAGAAAAACCCCCACTTCTGGGCTTTCACAAAGTGAGGATGGTTCTCCTTCTGGCTTTGTGGGTTTGGAATCATGATTGAACTTTCCCGAAGGAGGGTTTCCTTAATTATGGAGTGCTAATACTGACGGGCAGCTTTTAGGGCTGTGGTCAGGTTACGTGAGGCTCTGAGTGCACAGGTCCTGCTGCTGTAGTGCTTGAAACACAATGAACCAAGCCAGCGCTATTGCTATCATGTGGGGAGAAACCCTTCCAGGCTTCAAAGTCGCCCAACCACATCTCCCTAAATGCACCCCTTGGCTCAGGTGCTTTTATTCTGGCAGCCCCCTCTCTCTTATTCCTTCCCTGTCTTTTTCCTGCTCTCTTCATCATTTTAAATATAATTCCTAACATCCAAGTTTTTTTTTAATGGACATTTACAAATCCCAATTTATTTCCAGAAAGTCCCTCAGTTAGACCCCAAATTCCAGAAAGGAATTGAAGAACAAGGGCATCAAACAAGATTCCAGAGTCAAAATTCATCTCTCTCAGCCTTTAACTCAGTGTTAACTTATCTCATTAAAAGATGACAAGGCATGCCCCCTTTATTCCTAAAACTCACCTTAGCAATAAAGTTTGCCTTTGAACTTAAATCATCAGAACATGCGTCACTACATCCATAAAACAGTTAAGCCGGTCAATTCAATTGGATATTGTGCTCATTCTCAGCAAAACACTCTGTGTGTGTGTGAGTGTGTGTGTGTGTGTGTGTGTGTGTGTGTGTACAAGAACAAATAAATAAATAAAACGAGGAAGGCCTTTCCTCCAGGTGCAGTTCCCAGGTGGGATTTAGGTCCTGAATTGCTTGCTTAATGATCTCTTCCATGTTATTGTTTTCTTTTGTGTTTTTCAGGTACTCCCCGCTGGGTATCGCCTGCCTGATCTGTGGGAAGATCATTGCCATCAAGGACTTAGAAGTGGTTGCTAGGCAACTGGGGATGTACATGATCACGGTGATCGTGGGCCTCATCATCCACGGGGGCATCTTTCTCCCCTTGATTTACTTTGTAGTGACCAGAAAAAACCCGTTCTCCTTTTTTGCTGGTATTTTCCAAGCCTGGATCACTGCCCTGGGAACAGCTTCCAGGTAGAGGGCAGGAGAAGCCACCTTTCTCCATGTTGGTTCTTTTGTTCTATTTGACACTTCCTGTTTCCCCAAATCTTCCCTGAATTCAGTAAGAACACCTTTCATATCATATGAAAATATTTTCTAGAAGGTAAACACTTTGAACTTTTGGCTTGTCCTGGGCAATGCTGAAGCTCCTTTTTGGTTACCCTTGTGACTGGTCAGCAGCTGGACTAGAACCATAACCTCATATTAAATGTTAGGTGGTTGCATGGTGTAAGCTTGCATGCCTAACTGCCTAACGTGTTACTTGAAGCACTAATGTAATGTAGCCTTCAATATCATTCAGAGATTGTAGCATGATGTCGTTCACTTAACATACCACCTGTAATTTGGAAAATTACTATTTACTATTTAAAAAAACTCTACTGAGGTTTTCCCCAATAATTTTTCAAAAGTGGGAAAATCAACTTATTTTGGAAAAGGTGTGTCCATTTTTTATTATGTATATGTGTGAGTGACTGCATATATGTATGGGCTTTCCATACATGCCTGGTGCCCTCAAAGGCCAGCAGAGAGAATTTTAAGCAGTTGTTTGCTGAGAACTGAACCCAGGTCCTCTGCAAACTGCTACCCTGTCTCGCCAGCACCAGGAGAAACAACTCTCACAGAGTAAATGGTGATTTGTTTTCCCCAACAAGTAGAAACCAGCTAATTCTTTGACTTTAGTATAAACCTCTTAGTATACAATTATTCCCTAACTTTCCCTCCTCAAGTCCAGCTTAAATGGTATAACCTTAATAGGAAGGCAGCTCCTGCTTCATTATCTATTTTCATTGCCTAGGAAATCAAAAAGGACCTCAAATATAGGCAACAAAAAATTATTTTTTGAATATAATCTTGGACAGAAGTTAGCCAAAACACAAACAAAAACAAGTAAAAAAAAAAAAAACTAGAACTGTAGAATTTCAAAGACTGAAGAGTTTTACTCTTTCAGACTGAAATCGATGTTTTACTTCTGATATCTGTCTTTGCGTCACAAAATTGAGCCCGAGATCAAGAAACAGACAACTCAAGAGTCCAGCAGATGCCAAAACCCACATTGAAAGGCCACCAGGTCCAGCTGCTGAGCCTGTGACCACCATGTCCTGCTAGGGAGGGGCCCACTCAGTGGCATAGCATGGCTGGAGGTTCCAAGGCCCCTGATTAGGCAAAGTCACCTCAAGCAACCCAACAGCTGCATGGGAAGCCAAATTATATTTGCATATTGCAAGCCAGTGGGAATTCAATAGGAATAGAATAGGAGCTTTCAGAAAGGACTGAACCATGTACAATACTGGGGGCCAGATTTGGCATTCTGTTTCCTGAGATGAAGGGCAACACTTCAAACTTTCCCTGTAACTTCCTTATGCTTTAATTCTCTGTGAAAACGCTTCTCTTCAGAGAAAACGTAGCTGTTTCCCCCTCAAAAAAGCCAAACTTATTTACTTTTATATTTGTTATTTGATCATAAATATGGTATGCCTCAATAGCGACAAAGTTCAGACAAAGGATAAAATTTTGAAGAAGACAATGAACTTCACCAGACTAAGAATTTCTTCAGCTAATGACAATATGTGATAATCCTGTAGTTTTAAAAAAAACTATGCATATATGCTACTCTAGAAACTTCTATTTTTTTCATGGATCAAGAGATCATGAAAATCTTATCTATTAATAGAGATCTTCGCCACTATTTTTGTGAACTTCATTATAGCACACAGGATATGAAAGGCTGGAGAGATGGTCTAGCAATTAAGAGTGCTTGCTGCTCTTACAAAGGACCTGGCTTTGGTTCCTAGCACCCACATGGCAGCTCACAGCCACCTTTAACTCTGGTTACAATACCCTCTTTTGCTTCCCTAGGTACCAGGCATGCACATACATACATGTCGACAAAGCACTCAAACACTTAAAATAAAATGAAATACTAATAGTATACAGTACTCTGTTGCACATGTGCAGAGGTGTAAATCTAAAGCATGCCCATTAAACAGAGCGCTGACAATCATCTCTGCCAGACTCTCTGATGATCCCCTCAGGATACATTCTAGACCTGGACTTGCTGAGTCAAGGAGTACACACTGGTAGTTTTTGAAATGCATCACCAGTTAGCATTTCAGAAAGTCCAGAATTTAATGTTCCCACCAACTGTGTTTGAGGGAGTCTCTTTCCCCACCCACTCACCAGAGCTGGGGATTCTGTGTTGCTTTGATGCATTCCAATCTTATTGGTGGGAAAACCACTCAGCAAATGTGCATGTATTTGATTACAGATGAGGGAAAACATCTTTTTTATTCCTTATTGCCTTTTCCTCCCCATTCCTTGCCTCTTGAGTCATGTGTGAGCCAGCTCATTTTTCTTTGTGGGTATTCATCCTTTCCTGGATGGTTTTCAAGCTCATTTTATGCATATGAATTATTAACTCTTACATCACATGCTACAGATAAGAAGCCTCCCTACTAGACATCTGTCTTGAAAATAAATAATGATGTTTGACACTGGAATTTTTAATTTGTATACATTCAAAGCTGTAAATACTCCTTTTTTATTTATAAATTCAGTTTTGCTAAAGTATTTTTTCTATGCACAATTATAGCATAATGCATTACATTTTTCTAATGTTCTTGTGAATTTGTCTTTAAATTATTTTAAAAAAATATTTTCCTTTTTAATAGTCAGACCATTATCCTTATAATTCTAAAAGACAAGACAAATCTTAAAGAGATATGGGTGGTATATCCTGGCATTTAAATCAAACTCAAATGCTTGAGTTATCTCAATAAAGCCTCAAATGTTAGACCCAGTCCCCGCCCCCTTACTCTGTACTATAGGGTGAAAAATGTGGTTTTAATCTTCACTTAAAATTTTGCCTGGATGTGGAGTTTCCCCTTCTTTTAAAAGGCAATGGGCAAGACCCACATTCCAAGAATTGAGTCATGGTTTCTTTGCCATAATGGGCAGAAGGGGGAAAACATCTAGCACCCAGGACCAACCCACTAAGTACTGCTCTGCCTTATTGTGTTGACGGAGGACCTGGCTAGTCACTTTTCACAGCACTGCAGCAAAGCACCTGCCAGAGACAGCCTAAGGCAGGAAGGTTTCTGTCGGCTCAGGGTCCAACGGGACACAGTCCCTTGTGGTGGGGAAGAGATGGAAACTGTAGCAGGTCTGATCAGGCAGTGGGAGCTCATAGTGTTGGCTTCTCGTGGTGCCAATCAGAAAGCAGAGATGGGACCAGAAACGGAGCCAAGGCTAAAAACCTCAAAGCCCATCCAACTGGCCTCTATTCACTTAAGCCTTATATCTCAAAGGTTCGAAACCACCCGAAACAGGGCCACCATAACAACCATAGCAACACTGAGGATGGCCAACTGACTCTTCTTGATGGCTACCAAGGCTGGTGTCAGAGAGGAATGTGTCCCAGATCTCTGGTTTCAGTGCATGCCATTCATCAGAGGAAGAATCTCAAGTATTGGACATTATTGTTAGCAACATCCTAGGGCCTCTCAGATGGGAGCTAAAAGGCAATGGTAGAGTGTCAGTCTGTCAGCAAGGAAGTCACTAAATTCTCAAATCCTAGTTTGGATTAGTTGACTGTATGTGGATTTGGAGGACGTAAATATAAAACCTGCTCAGTAGAAGAATAGGGACTGTTTTCATGCTTCACAAACCATTCCCCCAGTCTCTCTGTCTGAAGACCTTTTGATGACATTTTGGAAAACAATAGATATAACAAGTAACATGAGTTTTGGATCAGTTATAGTATCTAGGAAACCCCCTGAAACAGTCCCAGGAAATGGGGAGAAGGGGTAAGAGGAATAAGAGGACACCAACTTCTAATTAAAACAGCTGAGGCGGCAAGCCCGGAACATGGTATTTCCTGCATGCAAATGAGAACAAAGCTTCACTTCTTACTTGGGCTTATAAGGCTTTTGTAAATGAGATGCATACAGCCCTGGCCCAATTAACTGACTTCTCCTTACCCTAAGACCAACAGGAAACATTACAGAGCCCTGACCTGTAATCACAAAGGATGTTCTGTCTGGTAAGATGACTCCTGGATCAGCTTAAGCTGTGGACTTGAGTGTCTCTTATTTTATACATAGCTTTCAGATTTAATGGTCCGGAGTAGGTCCTGGAATCAGCACATCCCTAAGCTGACCTTTTCTCCCACTGAGAAACTGAGACCTTTGTGAACTTGTCTGGTCTCGCTGAAGACTCAGTTGTAACTAGTATGAAGGGGTAACTATGACTAAGGCTTGAAAGTACCTCCAAATGCTGCCTGCACTGGAAATTTTCCAATTCACTTAAACAGGACAAAAGTAATCTAAGCAAGACAAACCACAAAACAATCCCATGCTGTTTGGCTCTTTTGCTTGATTTCAACATTATTTAAACTCTGAACAAGTCCACCCAATCTCCTTCGCACTACTGTCTAAAAGGATGTAATATTCTGGCCTTGACGAATCTTGTTCCCTTAGGTGTTCTATTTTAGAAGATGTTGAAGCATGCCAAATATTGTAGCCTCTAAGGGTGGGTCATGTGATTGGATCACCAGCCCATGCCTAGGAGGATTGAAAGTGAAGTCACTCCTCACCGCCTTTAGCGATAGATCCCATGATTTCCTGCCCTGTCATTGTGGAGACTGGGAAGTGGCTGGTGGCCATGTCTCTGGGAGTTGACTGCATGTCAAGTTCCCCAGTGGATTGTTCAAAGTTTGGGTTCGTGATGAAGGGTGCACAACTTGTTTGTCCAGCATTCTCCAAATTAGTAAGCCCAACTCACGACAGTTCCCAGGGGCTCCATGCTGTCCAGGCAGTCATTTTGTTGTAACAGCATTTCTGGCATGAAATTTTGGGTCATTCAAAAATTCCTCATTCTTTTTTGCTGTTGACAGCTGATTACTTTCTGACATAATTCTTTTGCAGCCCAATTCATATGCACAATCAGATGTGCTTCAAGATTTATCCTAAGATGGAAACAGGGACCGAGGGATAGAGGACTTGGCAGGCACTGAGTAGCTCTGAGAAACCAGGACCAACTAAATATTTTGTTGCCTATCAGCAGCTTAGTAAGATTGAATTTAAACTCCCAACTCATTTTTAAAAAATGTTTCTAGTTACTATTTTTGCATGTCACACTGACTAGAAAAAGAACAAAAATTTGCAATGTCATTCTGGTTTGTGCTTTGTCCTGCCTCTAAAGCAGAGTCTCTCTCTCTCTCTCTCTCTCTCTCTCTCTCTCTCTCTCTCTCTCCACTGCCCCCAGTGCTGGAACTTTGCCTGTCACCTTCCGTTGCTTGGAAGACAATCTAGGGATTGATAAACGTGTGACCAGGTTCGTCCTTCCGGTTGGAGCAACCATTAACATGGACGGTACAGCCCTTTATGAAGCCGTGGCCGCCATCTTCATAGCCCAAATGAATGGTGTCATCCTGGATGGAGGGCAGATTGTGACTGTAAGGTGAGCAAAGCGCGTGCAGGAGAAACAGAGAAACATCCGTCCTCCTCGTTCTCCCTCCACACTAACTTCACTCGGTGGAAGCGGCTGGAGTTTCAGCTCTAGTGAGACACAGCGAAGGAATTACTGGCAAACTTCAAAGGGAAAAGATCGTGACGGGAAGGGAAGAGGCTATTGGCATATTACACATGCGCACTCACATCAGAGTCCAGATGTGATTGACCCGTTATTTGTATGCTCATTCAACACACACAAGGAAAACCAGGCCTGGAAGTATAGTGGCTTGTCCAAGCCTATACCGCTAGTCATGAGCTGGCACGGCTATGACTCGGGTGACATTTACTAATTCTGGGTCCAATTATTCTGTCATTAAAATATGTTCCCTTCTGGGTAGGTGATCCAGCTCAGTGGATAAAGGCACTTGCCACCTGACATCAATCCTCAGGCCCCACATAATGGGAAGAGACAACCAATTCTTTTAGGTTGTCCTCTGATCTCCAGGTATATACCATTTGTACACATAAGCATGCAAAATTAATATTTAAAATATGCTCTTTTCAGTGTTCCAGGGCATGATGGTAGATTCCTCAGTGTGACATAGAACATTTTACTGTAAATAAGTACCACACAGTGTGCTTTCACCAATGCTTTGACCTGTATTTATACTGTTTTAACACTGAGAACATTGTCCTGAGAGGTCATCTAAAATGCACTGCTCCTCCATAAACTCAGATCCTGTTTGTAGGTAGAGTCATTGACAGTGTCATTCTTCAAACTGTTCAGTGTGCTGACGCTATTACCATGAAATCACTTCGACTCCAACTGGGAGCTTCTGTTAAGTTAGAAGACAGTTTCTGGCTTTAGTTAAAGTAGAAAACACAACAAAAAGCCAACGAACGACCTCCTGGTTCCACTTACATCCCACTCCCACTCACAGTGGCTTGGTGTCCTCATCTACAAATGAGGAAGGTATTCAGAATTGGGGACTGTGAATCGGCAGTTGGTGGGCTGAAGCCAACTCCAGGCCTTGCTATTTGCTTTGCAATGTGCTGTAAACTAATTAGAACGTTAGTGTCTTTGAAGACAGGTGTTTTCCATTTACTGCTGGCCCCTGCTCCTCACCGCCCATACCTGGCCTGGCCACCTACCACCACTGCCTGTCCCCTTAAGACGGTTAAAGTTATTACTTTGGGATGTTGTGAATTACATTCCCTTTCTGTCTCAGATTCTATGAGATTGGTAAATACAAGCAACAGGTGGATGGCATTCTGTGTAATCAATGTATTTGCAGGCAAAAGAGAATCCAAAGAAGTGTAACAACCACAGCCCCACCGATTCATTCTGTGGAAAGATTAGATTGACATGGAAATAACTTTCAGCTTCTGCAATGAGAACAACTCCAGTCTTGTGGTGCCCCCAAGGTGGCATTCTTCATATCTCACCTCAGACATTCCCAGCAATCTGAAAAGGAAGGATGGCTTTTGTCCCCATTTCACTGGAACAGTAATATGAGGCTAAGGGTGTTTATATGAAACCTAACTTTCAGGGTGTGGATGTCACATGTTGACCCCTTAGGCAACTCTTTCCATCTCTATCCCTTTCCTTTCTGGATTGAACTCAAAGGAAGGTGTTGGAAGACTAGTTTTGTTGGTCTTGCCTCTATTGCACACGGGGAAGAGGCCATACCCTTTACGTCTTGATTCATACAGTGGCCTTTCCTCCCTTCTAACTTTTGTCAATGAGGTCCTTCTCTACTTTAGAAATTCTGGTGACAGCTGGTGTCTGTTTGGCCTTCAGCTCATTCTCTAAGAGGCCTTTGGTGGCCTTAGGTTTACTTTAAGGGCCAGTCATAAGAGATGAGAAGGGGGCATTTGTGTCTGATTTCTCCATGTGTTGAAGTTATTGAAAGGTCATACTCAGGCACTGGAAATTGAAATTCTCAGTGTTTTATGAATTGACACCCCAGAAGAACTACCACCTCAGAGCTGTGCCTCATTTGTCTATCTGGGAGCCTTTTAGGCATCTCAGAGTTATTTTTGTTGGGTTACCAGTTCCTTCCATTTCCTTAGAGTAATTCCAGAAGATTTTAATGAACATTCCATACACATCAAAGCTTGGCTGAATAAGTAAGAAAACAAAGAAAAGAAAACCTTACCAGGTTTAACATTTGATTTGGAAATATAAACAATGCCTTTTGTAGCCATCTCATCTGGCAGATGAGGAACCTGAGGCCCAGAGACTCTACCCGTCCAGAGGATGGCTAAAATTCAAGTTCCCAAATTTGGATATATTCTTCTGTTTACTAAAGATCTTAATTTGTGGCCTTTGAAGTGGCTTTAAAAACTGGGTAATGGGGTCTGAATATATCAGCTGGTGAGAATAAAGCATGGAGAAAAAAAAAAGAAAACTTGCCCAAGATCATATCTATAAGTGCTGAAGTAGGATTTGAACCCAGGCCACCTAAATATGGGTCACACTGCCTCTGCTATAATTGGATAGATACTATTAGGCTGCCTGTGTGTGTTGATTTATCTGACCTTTACAAACACCTTGTGTTGTATATGCTAGAGTGGAACCTCCCATCTCCTCATCTATATCATGAAGGGAGCAATCACAGAATCAGGGTGGTTGAGAGGAGCATCATACATGGCACGTATCACATATCAATAGATGGGAGCTATTGAAATTGTTACTAGCAATGACATTCAACAAGATTAAACAGTAGTCCTATATTAGTAGGTGAAAAAGTGGCTGAGACACAGTGAGTACCACAAATTAATCACAATGGGAAGCTCATTTCAGATCAGAGTATCAAACATGAATCTTGTCCTAACAGATATCACAGGAGACTTCCAAGTTCCATGCTTAAAAACTCTTAGGTGAAAGGGCTTCTTGCCTTAGTGAAGCCTTTGACCAAGCAATGATAGTCTTTCATTCTTGGGCTTGACAGCAACCAGGCTTACCCTCCAGAACATCCTATGCTATTAAAATTAGAGCAGTGAGTAAGTGATTGGGATTTTACTGGCATTACTAATTTTATCTACTTGGGACTTATTTTATGTTAACAATGCTACTGTTGGGAAATTTCACCGAGCAAAGGATAAGGTTGGCCATGTATGTTTAAATCTTGGCCTCTGGGCACGTTTAGCCAAATCCTCCTTAATTGTAGACGTCTGAAGGTCTGCCTCCACAGGCTCCCACATGGCTCATGTGCAGTTCTCTGCCTGCAACGTATTTGGGGGGGGGGGTGAGGGATAGCCAAGTCTAGCTTTATGATGTGCCCTTGTCTAAGTCCCTCCTCTTCTCCTCTCCCTCATGTAGGAGAGCAATGACCAAGAACTTTCTGTATATTATTAAATCATAGACCTCTCAGGGTCATCAAGAGCCGGCATGTAGCAGAATCAAGCAGAGGAGTGTTCAAATCCCAGAAGACCACATTGAATCTGAGTGACCCTAAGTTGCCCACTCTTCCAATCCCTGCTTGTCTTCTGGTGAAAGAACATGTCTGTGTACCTTGCATGGTTGTTGTGAGGTTCTGCTTTGATGTTGTGTACATCAAACTTGGCAGAGCTTCCAGGAACTTGACTCTGGAGAAGCCAGCCAGAGGAGTGGAATACTAGAGAAAGCAGAACAGGTCAAGGGGCCAGGGGCAGGCTGAGAATTCTCTAGACAACACTCTCTGTAGGAGGGCAAAATTACTGTTAAGATTTGACTCTCAACAATTTTTGTACATACAGGATTTTGCCTCACAGAACCAAAAACTAGTCAGATTGAAATGGCCACGGTGATTGTAAAAGTGACTCATTACCAAAGCAACTGATGCTGTAAATCAAACAGCCAAGGCTAAGGATGACTGGAACATGGGAATCCCCTCTTCCCTACTGTTCTGTCCTTATTGGGGAAGGTCTGAGGAGTCCCAGCTGTCTGGGGCTTTAGGGAAGTTTCACTCCCAAAACTGTTCACCTTGTCACTAAGTTCTTGATAAGAATGACAGTTTATTTGGCTAGGAGGTTGTAATATGCCCAACCTCTCTTAAGTGCCTTTGCACTTACTGGTCCCTACCAGTTGACTGTTGACTACCTCATGAATGAGACACACTCATTACTCTTTTGTACGGATGAGGAAGTCAAGGTACAAAGAGATGCTGTTGCCCAAAGTCATGTGCTTGATAAGTGATAGAGCTAGGATTTGAACCTAGATTGTTTAAGTCAAAAAAAAAAGTTACTGCACACTATCTGCTGTCTTAAATGGATTCAGTCATGGAGTTCTCTAGAACCCAACACCAGCTCCATGCTGGTCTGACAAGGAAGGTCACAGACATGTTCTGTAGATCACACCTAGGCAGGCATCTGTAATAATACCTGGAAAGGGTGACAAAATGAAACAAGTATGCCAACTCACTGGAGCTCCAGAGGCTTTCCTTTCCCTCAGAGCCCTCTCAATTACAGGTCTTGGGATTCTAGGCTGGGTCACACTGGTGGTCTGACTTTGTTAAAACCTTCTGAGAGCCTGGAATTTGGTGCCTGAGTATTTGCTCTAGAAACATTCCAATGTTTTAACTACAAAGCAAGCAGCCCCCGTATTTTTAGCACTCACAAAAATCACACCGGGGAGCCCTGTTTTAAGAAGCAACATTCTCTTTAGAAGTGACAGCTCTAGGTCTGAGGAGATGGCTTGCTTGACAAACACAGGGACCCGAGTTTGATGCCAAAACCCCTACAAAAATGCCAGGCATGGTGGCAAGTGTGTTTAATCCTAATACTGGAGAGTGGAAGACAGGCAGATACTTGGGACACAGTGGCTAGCTGGTGACCTCTAAGCCAATGAGAAACCTTGCCTCAAAGGAAATGGATGCTGTACCTGAAGATGACATCTAAGAAAGTCCTCTGACCTCTATACATATACGCTAACATGTACATGTGCACACACACACACACACACACACACACACACACACACACAATTAAGAAGAAAAAAGAAATGGTCCATTCTATAAAATGACAGGTACAAAGATCACAAAGTCACTGCCAGTTGGTGAGCCTCAGGAACCCTCTGGTATGTAGACAGGACTCAAGATTAACCTTTGAACTTTGGGGACAGTTCAAAATGGTGCCAGGATTCCATTATCATTACGTGGCACCCTCTTTCTGAATAATGTGTTTTCCAGCTTTGGGAGAAATGTCCAGGCAAGTGAAACTGAATGTCTCCTGGAATATGTCTATTGCTTCCCCTAATGTCCACTCTGTTGGTTCTGGACATTTTCTGTCATCAGTTTTCATGTTAACGTTGGCAATGATCTCCTTAGACTCTTGCCACATAGTCCAAAGTCTGTGGCACTCACAGACACGTGGAGGCATATACAGAAATGAATGCAGTGTCTTCCCATAGGATGGGTGAGGGTGATTTAGTTCTTCATCTTTAATATTTCCATGCCTATTTTTAGAACTTCAACTGCCTTAGTACTGTGTACATTAGACTATTTGGGTATCACTATGGGAATATGACTACAATCCATGAATTTATAAGCCTCCATTATTGTTGAGCTCAGTTCCTGGATATTAGTAGAATATTTCATATTTCTTTATTCCAAGGAGAAAGAGAGGAAGAGATTTTTAATGACTGTAGGAAAATTGGAAGTTTTTTTTCTTATCTCTAAGATTGCAAAAGATGTTTGCCAAGACTCTTTCTCTTTCCATGACCTGGGCTTCTCTGTCCTTGCAGCCTCACAGCCACCCTGGCAAGCATTGGTGCAGCCAGTATTCCCAGTGCCGGGCTGGTTACCATGCTCCTCATCCTAACTGCGGTGGGCCTGCCGACGGAGGACATTAGTCTGCTGGTGGCAGTGGACTGGCTTCTGTAAGTGCCTGTGGGCTGGGTTCTTCTGGGGACTGTGAATGCTGCCTTCCAGGAGTAGACAGATGACAAGACTGCAATAAGACATTAGCCAGTCTCCCTTGGTAATTCATGTGTCCTCCCTCTCCCTCTCCTATAAAAGTTGCTGTGCCTAGTCAGGAGAAGCAAAGAGTTAAAAAGCAACTTGAGGACCTCATAGTCTAGTGGACGGATCAGATAGCTCATAATACAAGGATAAAATATAGCATTGAAAGGAGCTTGGGCTACAACTCAGTTGGTAGAGTGTATGCCTAGCTTCCGTTCCCAGCCCTGCATAAGCCAGGCAGCTCCGTCCTTGGCTGCAATCCCAGCACTGAGCAAGCGCAGCTGGATGATCAGGAATTCAAGATCATCCTTGGATACATTAGTGAGTTTAGGGCTAGCCTGGGCTATGTGACACCCTGTATCAAAAAGAAAATGTAGCAGTAATGATTCAGCTAACGATATATGCAAAGAATCTCAAAACACTCTACTGAGTGAGTCGGGTCAGATACAAAAGAATGTGCACTTTATAATTGTGTTTTCATGAAACTCTAGGGGAAGACACTATAAGCCATAGCTGTGAACAAATGATCAGTGGTTCCCTTTGAGGAATGAGAGAAATGTGCCATATTCACAGGTGTTTCTATTTGTCACAACTGGTTGAACTATTTGCTTAAATAAGTGGGTACTTTTTAACGTACATAAATTACAGGAATAAACGTAATTTATGGTAGCATGCAGGTAAAAGCACAATGATGGAAAGAGTTATCTGTGTCTGTCTAAGATGGAAGGGCAAAATGGGAGGCTCTGAGAAAACGGCAGAAGTGGTCGCTGAGTTTGGGTACACGCTACCTGTCAGCCTCTGTCATAGCCTATCACAGTCCTGAAAGTTTGCTGTGATCATTCCCATACTGTAGGTCAGACGTCTGAGGCTTGGACTCAGGAATGAACAGAGATTTGACCCTAGGCTTGCCTGGCTCTGGAGCCCTTCACATTCTTGTTCACAGTCAGATTCAAGTTTCCGAAGGCAGGGGTAGCTATGTGCAGTCATAACTGATAAGAAGCGCAAGATACTTACTCAGAGGAGAAACAGGACATCCCTATCAAAACCGTCTGTGCAAAGACCACTGGGGGCTACAAACAATGTGGAGACTTTTAAGTGATGGAAGGTGAGGTAAGATGGACAGCACCCTTGGAGGCCATGTAGGGAGGCTTGAATCTGACCATGTGCGTTTGGCTGCTGCATTTCCCAGTGAAGAACGTTTTACTAGTGTGGAAGACTAATAGTCCATTTATAAGTGTGGACAACCCTGGGTAGATCATCCCTAAGCAGGGAGGTTGGAATAGAGCCTCTCTAAGGGCCTTGAGGACACTGCTGTTCTTTGAAAATCATACCAATGTATCATGCCCACTCTTGCTGTTAAGTGATTGAGTGCTGGACAGTGTAACAGTTTCCATCTCTGCCAGCACTTGTTACAGTGCGTCAATTAACATGAGAGGCACACTCTAACAAGTGCTGGTGGAGATGGAAAGCCAAAATGGCTGCACTTCCTTTTCAGTGTTTAGGATGAAGACGCTACATTTTACTGACTTAGGTTTGTATCTCCTTCATACTCACACTCTTCCAGAAATGCAAAACCTGAAGGTCACAGGGGAAGGCTAGAAGGAAGCCTGGTCTCTTCATATTTGTGCCCAGTGTTGGTGCGGACAGCAGGGATTTGGTTTGGGGCAAGAAGAGGCTCCGTGGACACAATCTGTTCAGTCTCACGGGGCTGCTGGGAAGGCGCAGCATTGTTTGGCTGGCTCTTTCATATCAGAGACACCTTGGAGAGATGGCTTGACTAGGACCCCATGTCTGTCCGTGCCATCCTCTCACATCCTGGTGGAGGGTCCTTCTCCGACCACTTCCTTTTTTTTTCTGTGCCCTGCGTTGGCACCAACAGGCTATGGCATCTACTCAGGCGAGGCAGCTGTGAGTCAGTGGTGGTGCAGGGTAAGAAGAATCAGGAGGGAGTAAAGTAAAGGAGACAGAGGTGTGAGGTGACCATAGATGAGGGAAGGAGGACATTGTCAGTGTTTGGGGACGAAGGACAGAGGAGGAGTCTGCCAACCCTAACCACACACAGTGTCCCCGTGCTACTTGTTGCTTTCGCTCTCTTCCACCTTTTTCCTCTTGAGCCTCTTCAGTTTCTGCTGTGGAGTCTCTTGTCTGCTGCAGCTCCATCCCCTTATCTCTTCTTGGACCCCCCCCCTTTTTTTTTTCTCTATGAAGCCTGAAATCCACCATTAGCATTCATCTTTTCAGAGCTAGGGCATGGCTCCCGTAGTAATTGCCTTGCAAGCCTGAGGACGGGAGTTCAATCTCCAAAATCCATATAAAAAACAGGAGGTGAGTGCCATCAGGATGATTCAGTGAGTCAAGACGCACTTCCTGTGCAAGTCTGGCAACCCAAGTCCCATCCCTAGAACTCAGGTAAAGTGGAAGGGGAGAACCAGTTTCACAAAGTGACCCTCTGTCTTCAACATATGCATTGTTGTGGCACACACACACACACACACACACACACACACACACACACACGGAAGATGGCTTCCTGCTCCACACAGCAAGTGTGCCACACAAAGGGTTATATCTGACATTCACATTCACACACACACACACACACACACACACACACACACACTAAAAATTTATAAACTGGTCATAGTGATTGATGCATAATTGTAACCCCAACACTCGGGAGGCAGAGACAGGCAGGTTTGTAGCTGAACATTTTAGCCAAATCAGTGAGTTGCAGGTTAGTGAGAGGCAAGAGACCCTGTCTCACAAACAAGGTAGATGGTATCTATTGAGAAAGAGCTAAGAGCTGGGTTTGATTTCTGGCATGTCGCCAACATACATATACACCTGCACACACAAAGAAGTTCATCTTTTGAACATTTGTACTGGTGGAGCATCCCCCTCAGTGGAACACCAGAGTCTCTGAGTGGCAAGTATGCATCAGGTTATCAGGAATGAGGGGAAGACACACATGTTGGGCAGGTACTGCTGCATCTTTACATCTGTTTTCCGTCACCCCTGCAGAGCTCTATGGTGGATGTCTTAGATGAGGAAACTGTTGATCAGAAGAGTCAGTGTCTTGCTGAGGCACAGTAGAGCTAGTAGGAGCAGATGACTCTTGGTTGTTTCTCAGTTGTTAACACAAAGTCAGTCAGTGGAGAAGGGGAGCAGAGAGGTCCAGAGTTGGAAAAGCTGGAGAAGATGGGCCTCGTAGGGTCTCCTCCGAGGCTCTCCTTGTTTGCTCCATTAGAAACTCACATTGAAATTTCACGTTCATTTGGACAGAATTAAGAGGTGGGACTTCGAGAACTGCTTGCTCCAGGAAGAGTGGCACTGGTGTCACCGTACAACGATGACATCAGTCCCTTCTTCCTCTTGCATTGTCCTGTGACCTCCTCGTATATGATGACACAGGAGCTTGGCCACACCAGATTCTGGTGCCTTAGTCTAAGACTTCCCAGCCTGAATAACTCTAAGTAAAATCAATTTCTGTTCTTTATAAATTGCCCAGTCTCAAGTGTTTTGTTATAGTACTACAAATGGACAGAGGCATTCTTGAGTCTATGTACTAACAGCCAAGAACCTTTTGTTTGCCCTGTTTTCTTTTCTTCCCTCCCATGGTTAAACTAGTAACCAAATGAAGTAGGACAATGAAGTAGGATCGGAGCCTTAGCTACTCCTAAAATCCCAAGTTCTCTGGCCCCAGCAAGTCTGCCATTGTGAGCCCTGGAGTTCTTGGCAGTCTCCTGCTCTCAAGTTGGCTTGGGTGAGAGTCACTTCATGAAATATTCAAGACCCTGCCTGTGTCTGACCTAAATGTTAGCAAATGGAATAGGAGGGATGGATCCTCTCTGATCACCCCATGCAAGTGCCCACATGCTCACACTTGTGTGGGAGGATATGGTGTCCTAACTGTATGTCTGCGGTGTGCCAGCAGGAAGGAGTTGGCTGACCACCAACAAAAATGATGCTCTGTCTAGATTAATTTTCTTGATGAAATCATGCAACAAACAAACAAACAAACAAACAAACAAAACTCTCCAGAGCTGGAATGGGAAAAAAGATCACCAATGCATCAATGGAAAATTTTTCTTTTTAGTTCTAAGGCTCTGATCTCAGAAGGGCTGAGGCCACGTGGTCAAGGAAAGAAGGAAGAAGTGTGGAGGATCTTGGGAAGATGTGCATCAGAGTAGGGTTAGATCTGTTTTCAATCAGTACTGATGCCACATTCTTTCCTACCAGAGAACATTCTGGAAACAAGTGCCTAAACTTGCTAAGCTCCAAGGTTTTGGATGCTACTCCCTGGTGTGTAGGTAGGGCTGGGGGCTGGGTTGAGATAGGGGTGCAAGAGGAGGCTGTCTGGTCTTTAGAAAAGTAGTTGATGGAGGAAGAGCAGAAAGAAAGAGACGGTGGTCAGTGTTTTCTTCTGTAGGCAAAGTCTGGAAGATTTTTATACTGCTAGCAATTTTTCAATTTAAAACCAAACAGAGGCTCCAGTGACATTTAACGTGTCACGGTGTTTGCCAATTGCTGGAGCCAATCCAGCCTTATTACAGCCCACTAAGCCTTGTGGCAAGCTTAGCTGCTCTGTAAATGTCATGGTGAAAACCAAGGTTCTAGAGCATTTCAAAATGCCCAAGTCTTGAGGTATTAAAAAGGCAAGCCTAGTTAATACTTGAACCGTCTCCTGGCCCCAAGAAACCTTTTGTATCAAAACTGAGATATTTATAAGAAAGTATGGGAGGGTGGTAAGGAGGGAAGATGTAGAAAAAGCTGAGACCCAATACCAAAGTCAATTCCTGGGCCCAGTGCGAGCCAGAATGGAAAAGCCACGTACAGTGATACCAACATGGACGTGTGGTCCACTCCTCATATGACACTCTATTAGGGAGATCTTTTCTGGACTCAGATTTGCTAAGTA